ATAAAACTGAAACAAACTGAAAGTTTGTCCATGTACCAAAATTATCAAAAGCTTTTAATACCATGGAACACAGGAGAAAGGTCTTTGTCACTAATATTTCAATTACAAACAGAAATTTCTAGGCAATTCTGCCCATATTGAACTTCTCAAACTAGATCTCTAAGCCCATACTAAATGAATGCAATGTATGCCAACTATTTTTTCAACTTCGCTGAGCAGCATTTTTTTTTTCAAATGGAATATGTTTACAAATTCCACTTTTGTGCTCCAAACACTTGATAATTTCAAGTGTTAATATTGTTTCATACCTCTATAAAAAAATTAATTTCTCAGAGTAATACACACTGAGAAAGGCTGAAATGAATGTTAACAGTTAACTGTTTCATTCAAGCCACCAACATCAAGAAGAATAAACTGGTAAATAATTAAAAACAGTAATTACAAAACTACGTTTTTACCAGGTTCTTTCAAGGATTATTTGCAAAGTATTGTTTTTATTACACGCATCATACATCATGCTAACAACATGTAAAGCATCTTATGGTACTCCATGTAACTTGACTATTGGTCAGAAATGCCACACAGAGTTAAGGCAATGTTCTTTCATGCCAACAAAGGACAGCTATTTCAGAAAGTACAAATCTTCTACAGCACTGGAAACACCTAAAGAAATATACATATAGCAGCAAATTTAACAACTTTTACACTTGTCAACATCACTGCAATCCCTGAAACATTACTCCCACACTTCTTCCTGATCATATAGTTGAACAGGCTTAGTAGATCAGTTCAGGAGAGTTAATAAAATCCTAAATGCTCATATTTAATTTAAAAACCTTATCTTATAATCCTCTAAACAGCTTTATTTCCAAAGACTCATATACAGTCATTCCCCTCAAAATAGCTACCTTACATTCAAATGTGAGCATACCTTAGGATCTCCTTGCTCTACTTCTCAGCTAGTGTATCTTTTTTAAAACACCCTGTATTATTATATTGATCCTTAGCGACTCTCCCTTTTAAGAGAACCCCAGAGACAATTCCATTGCAATACACCTGTGACTACTATTCTTAAATACTGAAAATTATTGTAAGAAGTTATCTCATTTAAAAAAAAAAAGACACAGTCTTTCTAAACTTATATCCCAACATACACTGTCATCACCACCTTGAACAAGACTGTACACAAAACCAGTATACAAAAAAGCATACTTTGCTTTGAAGCAAGATGCGCAATTCAACCATCTCATCGGTGTTTCGAGATCTTTTGAAGGCCTGCTCTTCCTCCATATCTTCGGCAGGACGTTTGCCTGTAGAGAGGTCCATAGGGTGGAAACATAAACATTTATTTAACTTTCTAAGTTGTAATAAAATGGAACATGTGCCAAATTTATGCTCTGTACTATTAATACATCCTTTCCTATTAGTGCAAAATTAATTACAGAAATCTATTCTTAGCATCTATAGCACAGAAACAGAAGTCTTCAACAGCTTTCTTACTGACTAACGAGTGAAAATTAATTTAAAAATCTATGAACTATGGCTTAATTGACAATATTGCACACAGCCAATAAGAAATCATCACACTTTTTCTAAAGGAGTCAGTATTTATTTTTAATAATCCACTCAGTATTTATTTATAATTTACRATTGGGGAAACCTTTCAGGCATAAAGCTCAAATGTAGTTTGTCCAGCACTGAAATACTGGTGGAATAACAGTAAAGTAGCACTTCAGATGCTGTTTAAGAAAAACTGGCACAAATCAACAGCAGTAAAGCCCCACCTTCCCTGGTAATTATTCCCAAGAAATTTTGCATGAAGCTCTTTAGCAATATTTCACATATGGACACTCCCGCATGTAACAACTGTAATGACCAAAATGCAATTAACAAATATGCCCTATAGCATGGATACATATTCACATTCTTCACAAAACTATGACGTATTTTATTATTTAATAATAACTTTCAGTTATTTATTTCACATCTAAAAGATGCCAACAGAAAGACTGTGTTTAKGCTTCAAAAGTATGTGTAAACAATCTGAATAAAATCAAGGATATTTAATGCAAAATGCAAAACTATTGCTGATGCAAACACATGGCGAAGTTAAATATACAAAATTCTTAGAAACAGTTAAAATTTCAAAAGGTTCTTTCTAAAAAGGAATAGTCCTTTAAAAAACTTACCATTTGTCTCTGTGTTGGTAAAKGTCTCCTCCTGTTGTTCAGTCTCCATTGCCTTATTTTCTTATGTGGACAAGGCAAACCTGTTGAAAAATAAAGATGGTACATTCTTCTGTCAAAAGGCAAACTGCACATCATGCTAAAGTTAAAAAAGRACAAAAATAAATGCCTGTTACTAGAACTTACCGTTATTATATATCCTTGCAGACAAAAACTCAAGTATTGTGGGCGGGATCAAAATCCAACAGCCTATTGCTTCAAGAGCCTATGAAAACAGCATACATCAGTTATGARTCTCCCCATACAACAGCTCTGATTCTCTCTACAGCCAAAAACCAGAGATCTGACCCAAGCTATCAACCCAAGTTTTTTCTTTATTAAAAAAAGGCACAGCCAAACCAAACACACCACTCAGAGAAGTATAGAGGTCAAGTCTGCAGACCTATATAAACTCTTAATGTTTGAATAACAGTTTTTGGGCACATGCTTGTTTTAAGTAACCACATGATCTCMACCTTATACAATATGTGCCTTGATTTCACTTTTTATAGGACATTACACCGGAATCTGGTCCTGAGTGTTTCACTCAACACAATTTACACATAACAAAAAGACCTGTTAGGGTAACTGCCAGCTAAATAAAAAAAAAAAAAAAAAAAAACCAAAACTTCCAGGTACACCTAAAAACACCTTTTTAAAAATACCACCCTCTGAAGTTACATAAAATCCCCTGCATGCACACACCCCCAAACTCTCCAAAAGCAGCTGAACTTCACTACAGTTTTCTGAAACAGATTGTGACCTGCTTTTATTAAGTTGATCTTAGAATGCTAGAATCACATTTGAGAGAAGCGTGGCCAAAAAAACCGATTTAGCAACTTACTATCTTAAAAAATGTGATTTACAAACACAGCCAAAMAATCACATATTTCCTCTGCTACTGCATTATGTTCCACTGCCTCAACAAACAGCAGGCACTTATTCTGGTATCCACAAACTGGGTAGGAAAGAGAGGSGKAAGAAGCTGATTTCAACTTTTTAARCACACTCTAAGAYAGCTGTGTATTTGCTGCCCTGCTCATAAGGGCTAAGAGCAGGCACTGCCTTCTCAGCACATGCTCGTCTTTCCAGGCACTTGAAACGGGCTAACAGGCACGCACGGATTTAATAATAGCGGCATCTCAGGCAGACACTGCCAAAGTTGTGCCGTTATGTGAACGGAAACTGGGGAAGAACCGGACACGGTGTAATAGCCCTTTCAGAACCCAATTAATCTATTTCCAACTATTCCAAGAATTTTAAGGCAGGGGGGAGCCCTTATAATCAGTTACAATGCAGAGCGCAATCTCCCCAAACGTCAGGTGTTCTCAGTAACCTCGTTCTGATACCAGAGTGACCAACAGCTCAATTAGGTAAATCGAGGATATTCACATTGAAGCACTAATAAAATCAGATTTTTGTATGAAAATCTAAAGGCTAAAGCGGACACGGAGGGACCAGCGATCACAGASCTAAAAGCTAAGGAACGCCGGTGCGCCTCCAGGGCACCGCCAGCCTCTCTGTCCTCCTCCCTCCCCCCGCCTCCGGCCGCCCGCTCAGCACGGCGGGGACAGGGCGCGGGAGCGGCGGCGCTGCGGAACCCCCACGGAGCCACAGAAATGGCGCCCTCCGAAATGGCGCCCGCCCGCCCGCTGCGAGGCGGAGCCGGGAGCGGAAGGGCCGCCGCCACCACCACGCGGCCGCGGGGAGCGTTACCCGGCTCCGCTCGGGCGGACACAAAGGAGGTGCCCGGCGGCCCAAAGGCCGGCGCAGCGGGCGGAGCGGGGCAACCCCAGCACCACGGGCGCTCCGCCCGCCCCCGCGAAAGCGCGACCGCCCCCCGATCGGCCTCTGCAGCTCCTTCTGCGCAGGCCGCGGCCCGGAGCGCCCTCTCGGCGCCCGCCATAATCCTCAACAACTCGCCCCAGGCACAGTTACCACGCGCGGGAAGGTGGCGGACAACACCGCGCCCCCGCCCTTGGAGCGCAGCCGCTGGCGTTGCGGAACCCGCGCTGTCCCCGCGGGGCAATGGGGACGATGGCCCTCTAAGAGCCCTCAGCAACAGCCGGCGCGGCAACAAACGGGTGCCCTCCACGCAGTGCTCTCCCCATTCCCCCGTCATCTCCTCGGGAGCCCACGGGAGCCTTGGAGCCAGTGCGGCCCTCGGCGGTCGAGGCCCCACGACAGGAGACACGGGCCCTCCCGCACCGCTGTGTCACGCAGCGTCGCCGAGCGGGTACGGCRGCGGCTCTGCCGGCCCGAAAGAGGCCTGGACTGGCCTATGCCCTTCCCCGCCCCCCTGCCCTCCTTGCCGGCCCCGGCCGCACGGCGCCGGGGGCTGCGCGTACCTGCGCCCGCCGCCGGCCCCGCCGCGCACGGGAGAGAAAGGGGAGAAGCCCCGGCCGCCGACGCACACATCCACCAGCGCCACCCGCGATTGGCCCCGCCACCGCCCCCCGCGCGGCGCCTCCGCCGCCCCGTTGGGTGAGGCCGCTGCCCGTCAGCACAAGAGGCGGCGTTGCTAGCCGCACCGCCCTCCGTGAGGAACGGGGCGAGACGGGCGCGGGGAAAAGATGGCTCCGTTAGACCCGCTYCGCGGCTAGCCGGGCTTCCCTACCTGGGCGGCGGGAGCCGCGCTGGGACCGGCGCGGACAGCGGTGGAACGGCCCAGGAAAGCGAGACCGGCTGCGGTCAAGCGGCGAGAAAATGGCGGCCGCTGAAACCCCGCCTTGTGCGCGCCGCCCGCCGCYGGCTGCCGCGAGACTCTCGCGATGATTCGGCATGCGCCTCCCATTGGCTGGTGGCGCGCGCGGCGGTTTCGCGGGGAGCAGGCTCGCGCCGTGCCCCCTCGGTCGGGCCGGGAGCCGGGGCCGCCGTGCCGGGATCGCGGCTCAGCCGGTGAGTTGAGGCTCTCGGCCCCTCATCTTCCTCCTCCTCTCGCCWCTGCTTCCTTCTAGCCCTCACCACCTTCACCTCCGTTGCCCGAAAGCTGACGCTTTTCATGGATTAAGTAACTACGCGATATCTTCCCAGCGTTGGATTTTCTGGGGAGAGCTTGGAGGCAGGTTGTTTTTTTGTTAGTTCTGAAAGTTATAATGGCAAAAAAAAGTCCCCGACAAAACCCACACCTGGTGTTTCTTAAATATGCTTACGGTAGATTTTGTTTTCGTTGTGTTCTGTAGAGAGATTGAGCTCCTCGGTCGCCCTTTCTAAGGTATTAAACATGATCCATGAACAGTGAGGCAGCCTAATATCTTTTGAACGTCTGTATTAGTGATATGGGTGCAGGAGTTGGATGCAGCATTAGCAAGTGTGTTAGCAATACCAAACGGATGTGCTGCTGACTCTTCTGSACAAGAGCCTTGCAGAGGGTCTGGATACAGTGGAGCACTGCGTCGTTATCAGTGGCATGAAATTTAACAACTAATAMCAAAKTTTGCCCGTGGAGTGCAGYAAAGSWGGGCACAAGTATCAKCTGGGAGAGGARTGTGTGGAGAGCAGCCCTGCAGAAAGGGATCTGGGGGTGCTGGGGGCAGCAGCTCAGTGTGGGTCAGCGCTGTGTGCCCGGGCAGCCAGGAGGGCAAACCCCACCCCGGGCTGCATCAGACACAGCAGCACCAGCCCCACAAAAAATGGGATCATCCCGCTGGATTCAGTCCTGGGGCGGCCTCACCCCGAGTCCTGTGTGCTGGGCTGGGCCCCACAGTTTGGGAAGGGTATGAAGGTCCCTGAATGTGTCCAGAGGAGGGGAACAGAGCTGCTGGAAGGGCTGGAAGGAGCTCCTGTGAGGAGCGGCTGAGGGCTCTGGGTTTGTCCAGTTTGGAGAGGAGGAGGCTGAGGGGACACCTCAATGTTCAAAGATTCCTGAGGAGGGGACCTGGAGAGGGAAGTGCAGGTCTCTTTCTGGGATTCAGCAACAAAAGATGTGGGAATGGTTCAAAACTGTATTAGGGGAGGTCTGGGCTTAACAATAGGAAAAATTTTACCAAAGACAACAAAGGTGATGAAAGCTCTAGAGGGTAAGTGATATGAGGGGTGGCTGAGGGAGCAGGGCCGAAGAAGCGGAGGCTGGGGAGAGACCTTATCGCTCTCCCCAGTTGTGTGAAATGAAGTTGTCGCCAGGTGGGGGCAGTCTCTGAGAGTACAGTTTCAAAGGTGTACCAAAGGAGAATCAGGTTGGACATCAGGAATTTTTTCACAGAAAAAATGTGTTTAAGCATTGAACAGGCTGCCCAGGGAGGTAATGGAGTTACCATCCCTGGAACTGTTAATAAGTGACTGGGCACTTGGTGCTATGGTCTAGATGAGATGGTGGTGTTCAGTCAAGGTTGGGCTCAATGATCTTTTAAGTCTTTTCCAAATTATTCTGATTCTAAGAGCATGACCAAACCTTGGAACAAGCTTAGAGGTGGCTGATGCCCTAAAACTGTTAGCATTGAAGATGCACCTGAACAATATGTTTAGTAATACGTTTTTATTTTTGGTCAGCCCTGAATTGGTCATTGGATGGACTAGATGATCATTCAAAGGTCCTTCCAACTGAAATTGTTCTGTTCTGTGCTTGTTCTGCAGCTGCTCTGTACAGCTACTTCCTAAACTAACAAGAAGTTAGGCACTGATGTCCCTGAGGTGATAGCTGCCAAGACTTGGCGCTGTTGCCCTGCGTTCTAGRTAACAATGTTTCAGCTTTCTGGTGTCAGGTACAAAGCTTTCAGTCAGGCTGAAAGTCACCCCTCTGACAGGAGTGTTGATAGACCACAGCTTGGCTCATTCAGTCCTTACTTCTGTTCATAACAGTGCTGGTGAAGTGGGAGAATAACATTTTAGGTCAATTTCTGAAGTAAACAGAATGTTAACAGCAGCACACACAGAAAGAGCACCATAAAAAAAAGGAAATACATTTAAAAACCTACTGCTGTTTTGGTTTGGGTTTTTTTTCCMTTCACTTTCCATTCATAAGAAAAGAATTTCAGTTATATATTTCTAATTAAATCAGCATGGTTGCTTGTTTAAGTCTCCATACTTTTCATATATTTTGCACATACCTTTTGTGCTGATAGTTGCACATACCTTTTATGTTGATTGAGATGTTAAATGTTAAAAGTGCTTGTGGATTTTACTGTCGGTAGATGTAATGGTTTTAATTTTTTTAATACAATGTGATCTTGAAACTTTTCATAATTTCAGTTTTTATCAGAAGATTAAATGTGTCTTTTTAAATCCTATTTTAGGGAATTCAGTCTCTTACCATAAAAGAAAATGTCTACATCTAGCATTGCAGCAAGAGTGGAAACCTGGCTTTCATCCAAATGGCACGTCAAAGTTCCTTTGACATGGCTGGAAGCATGTATTAACTGGATCCAGGAAGAAAATAGTGGTAGTAACTTAAATCAAGCTCAGATTAACAAGCAGGTATTTGAGCAATGGCTTCTTACTGATCTGAGAGACTTGGAATATCCCATTTTGCCTAACTGCATCTTAGATACTCCCAAAGGAGAGTTATCAGGCTTCTACTCCATACAGATTGATTCACTGGTTGATGTTAGCCAGCCAGCATATTCTCAGTTGCAGAAGCTAAGAGGGAAAAGCACTGTAAATGAAGAAGTAACAGCCAGTACTCAGACATTTCAGAAGCCCTGGGAAGCAAAGCCTACTCGAATGCTGATGCTACAACTAACTGATGGAATACATCAAATTCAGGGCATGGAATATCAGCCAGTACCTGTTCTTTGCAGTAATCTTCCTCCTGGAACAAAAATAACTGTACAGGGCAATATTGCATATCGTCTTGGAGTTCTCCTGCTTAAACCAGAAAATGTGAAACTGTTGGGGGGTGAAGTTGATGCTCTTCTTGAGGATTATTGTCAAGAAAGGGTCCTTGCTAGATTGATTGGAGAAACTGAAAACCCTAATCCTGTTGCACAAGCTGGACATGAACAGATTGTTTCAAGGCCTGTGGATGAGCTAGAACAAACTCTTGGCCCTTCGGATGAAGAGCTTTTAGCCAGCCTTGATGAAAATAATGAATTTTCTTTAAATGACAGGGCATCTTTAGAAAGTGGATACTGTAGTAGAAGCAACAATTTTAGTACAGCCTCAGGTTCACTGACTGCGCATMATAGAAATGTTTTGCTGCAGAAATCTGAAAGTCCTTTGCCTCACTCAGATGAACAAGTTTCACCTCCCACAGAATATGCTGATGGCTTTTTAAATGACTTTCCTTTAGAAGATGACTTGCTGCTGGAAGAAGAGATGCAAAGAGAGATGGAAGAAGTGCCACCAGTGGTCATGAACAGGAACATGGATTTAATTAGTGGCAGACTTCCACATACATCTAGAAGCTCCTGCAATTCATCTTTAAATGGCACTGTTGAAGAAGATGATGTGAGTGAAAGAGATAAGCTCAGGGAAACTGCCAGCAAGGAAAAGRACTTGGAAATACCAATATTTGATGAAGATGGAAATAGCGTGAATAACGTTTTGCAGCACAAGGGATTACAGCGGACCTGCAATTCATCAGATTTTTCTTTGGAAAATCCTCCTGAGGAAGGGCAGAATTATACAGACCAAGATGAAAGCAGATGTAGATACCAGCACACTTCTGACAGCAGGGTATTAAATGATGATCCTGTGTTTTCCCCCAGAATGGATCCTGAAGGAGATCAGCAGAAACATGATTCACAGATCTTTCCTTGTAAAGCAGTAGAGGCACATTTAGATTTACATTCTCCACCTTTCACATATATTTCCCTTCTTCTTGCAAAAAAACCAGAAACTGTTACAATTCTGAAAGTTAAATGTTTTATTGTTACTCTCACTGGAAACCTCACAAACAACGATGGCTCCTGGGGCATAAAGGCAAAAATTTCTGATGGTTCTGCATATCTTGAAGTAGATTTTTCTGATGATGTTCTAACAAGTTTGATCGGCTTTTCAGTGCCCGAAATGAATAGGATGAAAAAGGATCCAGCTTTACGTCTAAAACTTAAGGATGGATTAGAGAMATGTCAAAAACAACTGATAGATCTCTGTTGTTTGATGACTATTGAGTTTAACCCATGTCAATCTAAAGCTACTGTATTAACTCTTCAGGATGCCAATGTTGAGCATCTGGAACAATTGAAGAAACGTTTGAATAAATAACATTTGCAGACTTGCAGACTATATATTAGAAACCATTTAAGTCAGATTTCCCCTGAGCAACTGTTGAATGTTAAATTTTAAGTGGTGTGCCTTTTATTAGGAATTAGAATGCAAAAGTGARACAAGGAGATTGCAAAACTGGGCTGTTTCTTATGACAATATTGAAATACRCTTTCAAATATTTCTGTCTTGATTTAAAATAAAAACAGTTTTCATTTAAATTTTAGTGGAAGGTCCTTAGTCACTTTGAAAGAAAATATGTATCTTGTTGAGTGTATAGAGTATGAGAAATTATCTGATTAAGTTTTTTGTTCTTATTTCTTCTTCCTATCCTTTCCCCTTCTCTCTGGTATTTTTTGTTGTTGGTGTTGTTGTTTTGGTTGGGTTTTTTTTTCTTATTTTTCCCTTTGGTTGGTTGGTTTGAGTTGGGTTATTTTCCTGGGAATTTCGAAGAATTAAAATTATGGCAGGAGTAGGGGAACCAATGACAGGAGCAGTCTGCCCAGTGCTGGTAGTGTTTGCAAAAAATGTAAACTCTGTGGCCAGGAGAGGGATTTACCTTTCCCAYTGTGTAGAGGACCTGAGCAAATTATAACCCTGTGAGTTACCTTTGGGTTTATTTTCTGAGGTTTTGGGGAATTGCATATCCTTTACAACCTTAACAGGAAAAGCTTTAGCRTGTCTGGAACCTGCATTGCTGGATCTTTAGTTACAATTTCAGAAAAAATTGCTTGTTAGTAGGAAACTGACCAAGCTTCATTKCATGTAATCCTTGCATAAGTTAATAGAGCTGACTGTAAACTTTTAGTGCAGTTTTATGGAAATATTTCTCCTATAATGAGTTAGGAAACTTCCTTTGATGTTTTTGCCTTAACATGTAAAAGGATAGGAGTCCTTAAAGTTCAAATGGCATGAATAATCCACGGAWTTTATTCTGCCAGTGCAAAGCAAGAAGAATGTTATTCAAACTGCAAAATCCAATTACGTGTGTTTGGTTTAGATGATGAAGTARTACCTGCCCATCCTTTTTTTGTATTTGTGTTAAGGTTTAGCCATCTCTGCTATAATAATTGCTTGTCTCCTGTTCTCTTCCTCTCTCCCTTCCTCATCCTCTCCCCTATTGTCCTTGTCTTAATTTTCAACATGTTCTTCCTGGAAGGCCACTCTCATGCCTGTGGTCCAGTGCAAGCAAGAAAATCTCAATAAAGCTGTTTWCAGCTTGACTGCTCTGCAGATATTTCAGTGCAGTTTTCTAGTGTATAAGGTTTCCAGATTGTGTTCAAGCTTTTTGAATTAATGAGAAATATTGCATAGTTTTTCCAACATGAAAAGTGATATTGATRTTGAGAAAGCACGATTACTTAAGAGCTGATGTTGAACAGAAAATGGTTTATGTGGCTGTGTGTACCAGTCATTGGTTCCTGCCTTATCMGTTTTATTTGCTCTCAAATTCAACTTGTCTCATAGCAGTCTTAATGTTGTGRTTCTGTGTGTATGTATTGCATGCATATATTGCCTCACTGTGCCAGGTAGTRGTGTGTGTCAGAGCCCTTCAGGTAACCACTGTTCTTACAGGTTGAATTCAGARCTCAGGCTGCAACCCAGCAGAGGTATGGCTGCATTTCTGGACCACGCAAAAGAATTCCTGTACCAGCACCTGAAGGCAATTGTCATGGCAGCTGCTCTCACAAGTTACTTGCAGCCTTCTGGCAGAAGCAGCTTTTGCTCTTGAGAAATTATCTTTTTTCTACACTATGTTAGAAATTATCTTTTTTCTACACTACATTGCAAATTAACTTCTTGTTATCTTTGTGTCAGATGCTAAATAGACTTCTGCGCTTTCAGTGTATCTGACTGCAGTTTCAGAATTTGTGTTCTTCAGGAATGTTTTCCTTTTAATGGGAAAAAAAAGTGCTTTTTTGTTTCTGGTCACAGTGAAAACTTCCAACTAATTCAGCTTCAATACATGAAACCTACCACATAGGAAAGTGGCTGTCACTCTTAACAATGAAAGTTTGTTCTTGCCTTTCTTATGGTTGCTAAAGAAAATGAAACCAATAAATGTGCTATGGCAGTGCCAGGTACCTGGCATCAGAATATCTCCTTTAAAAGCTCTGTTGCTAAGGCAAGCTAGTAGAAAAAAAGAAGGGTCTCGGAAACTTTGCTGTGCCCTAATTATTTTCAAGGTATTCACTCTCAAACTGTAGAACAAGGGAGTGGCTAGTCSAAGAAATATGGCAGGTTTCCAAACAAAGTAGGCTGGCAAGAATAGCTTGAGGACTAGTCTAATCCTACTGGATATTAGTTTGGCCACAAATATGCATGTTATTAAAACCCAGCAACTTCCATCTTGTTGAATGCAGGCAGTGTTCTAGGGAAGCAACAGCTAGTTGATGTAATATATTTTCAACATATTGGTGGAGAGTGTGAATGGGTTTCCTAACAGGTATTCTGGACTGSTCAGTAATGTGACTTCACATTGCAAGCCTTATGTGTTTCAGGTCCTATCAAAAGCAGAAATTATCACAGTAGTGGAACACTATTGGATGGAACAGTAAACATAAAATTTGGTTCTAAATACAAACACCTGTTTCTAAATGTCTTGCTGTAATGATGTCAAACATTTCTGTTTTGAATGAAAAGATAATATTGGGAGGAAAGAATGATTTATAGTACAGTGTTTCTGAATTATCTGGTGGCAAGGAAAATTAAATGTATTTATCTGAGATGAAAGGGAAGAAAGGATGTAACACCTCATTTCAGAGCCAATTCCTTTGTATTATGGTCCTAGAAGAAACAGAATACCAATGGTAATGGCAGCAAATGAGATACTAAGGGTAAACTGATTAAATAGAAGAGGCAAAAGTTTCTTACAAATCAGCTGCTCATCCAAACGTATATGCAATGTATTTTTGTGTTGGTCTGTCACTTTTAATCCTTCTTTTCCTTAAGGATTTTTCTCCTAGTTGTACGGGGCTTTCTAACAGGGTGAAATTGCAGTGTGTTGCTGTTAGAATTTGTCCAGCTTCTGATTCTTAAGGCTCAACAAACCTGGTTCTCTTATGCCTTCCATGAAGCATGGCATGTGCTTCATGTCCCTGACCACCTTGGCAGTGTGTGCTGGTCGCCTGCTTCATTGTGTCAGTGGCTTYCTTGTGCTAGGGAACTCCAAATAGGACACAACACTCCACATGCAGTCACACAAGCGCTAAAAACAGAAGGCAGCTTGCCATCTTGGATCGGCTTCCTGGCTCTGATGGTCATTGCCACCACAAGGTCACACTGCTGACTTCAAGCTGCCCGCAAGTGCCCATGACTCTTACTCTAAAGCTTCCTAGCCCATTGGTTCTCACCCCATACTATTGCATGGAGTTATTTCTGCTAGGATGAAGGAATTTGCATTTGTCTTAGTCAAGCTTAAGGACGTTTCTCCCAGTTCATATGTCCAACTCATGCAGTACTGGTTCGCTATCACTTGTTGATTTCTTTCCTTTTCTTTCCCCTCTCTTTTCTACCACTTGCCYCTTAATTACACAACCAGAAACCTCTTCCCATAGGGAATGAGGTTGGGCAGACCTGACTTGACATTGATAGGCCTGTGCTGACTGTTTCAAAGTACCCACACCTTCATGTGCCTAGGTATGGATTCAAGGAGGATTTGCTTTAACCTCTGGGACTGAAGTCAGACTGTCCAGTTGATAATTCCCTGGATCCTGCTCCCTGAAGATGGGTGTGGCACTTGCCTTTCACAACTRGTCAGGTACCTCATGGTTGCTGTAACCTTTCCAGTGTCCTTGAGGATGGCTTTGTGGGGACATGAGCCAACACCCTCAGCAGAACCCTCTGGTTCCATGGGGAGCTGTACGTGTCTGCGCAGGGTAAAGTCGTCTGTTGCTGCACAGAAGTGCTAGTATATATGATCTCAGTAGGAAGAATCTAAAATACTGTTTAAAACACTAATTATTAGAACTAACACTTTTAGATACAGACAAGGCCATGCAAGTGGCATAAGCTCTGGTGTGAGTGGCAGGTGCCTGCTGTCTCCTCCAACATTGTGTGCTGCCTGAGCTTGTCCCACCACCAAGAGATTTGCACARCCTGAAGGCCACACTGGCTGTGCACAGCACAGACCTGCGCCTGCTCAGGTTGGCTGTGATGTGGGTCACTGACCCCTCAATATGTAATCATCTTCTGGTTAGCATCACCACATTCCCTGTCGCATCACTTACAGTAGGCTGTACTACCTTTCTACAGATACTGTTTGTAAGCTTGGGAAAATKGGAGCTTTTCTTGTCATCTGCTTATGGATCACCTGCTTCTTTTGGTATCTGTGTTGCTTATGTAAGCTGTAAGTTATGTAGACTGTATCACAGGTTTCAAACTAACACAAGTCACAGTTAATACTGGCTTTAAAATAGTTCTACTGTAGTGGAAGTGCAGATGGTGGAAGAACATAACATGTTTGACCAAATGAAACTATATAAAATGAGAACAACTGCTTTGTGACAGGTGAATACCAAAACATCTGACTGTTACATTGTTTTCATAGACAAAACTAACATTGATTTCAGCAAAGCTGTGCTAATACACAAAAGGGCAAAATGCAGGCTTCACAAATACCATCTGAATTGGTAATACATCATAAACAAGAAAGGTGAGCTGAGCTGGAAGAACTGAAAGATATTCATAGAAAGAGTTACAGATTAGAGGCCTTTCAGGATAAGAGTATTTCCTGAGTTACCAGGAGAGTTCTCACAGAGTTATTGTGGCATAGAAAATTTGCCTCAATTCTGTGGATATCAAAAAAGCAGTAGGAATGCCAATACAATTGACTGAGAGCATCTCATTTTCAGCCCTACTGAGCACCTTTATCTGTAGGTAGAGATTGGATCTGGGAGACATTCTGGTCTTGGTGCCTCTTAGTAGCTAAWTGAGTATCTCCCTGAAACGTGACTTTGTTTTCTTTGCTTAATTCCTTGTGCAAAGATCAGAGATACRCAGTACAGTTAATTTAGCTGGTATAGATGGCCCTTACATGTTAAACAACTTCTTTTTGTTTGCATACTTGGTAGGTTTGAATTTTCTTCTAGGTTGCTATAGGGGCAAAAAACACAGTATGGAGAGAATTGGAAAGACTCAACCAATGAGCTTAGGACAGCTGMATGAGGCTCAATAAGGCAAAGTGCTCAGTCCTGCACTGGGGTCACAGGCACCCCACACAGCGCCACAGGCTGGGGGAGGAGTGTCTGGAGAGCTGTTTGCCAGAAAGGGACTTGGGGGTGCTGGCTGAAGCTGGCTCACTATGAGCCAACAGAGCCAACACTGTGCCCAGGTGGCCAAGAAGCCAGTGGCATCCTGGCCTGTGTCAGCGACAATGCTGCCAGCAGGACCAGGGCAGGGATTGTCCCTCTGTATTCGGCGCTGCTGAGGCCACACCTCGAATCCTGTGCTCAGTTCTGGGCTCTCACTTTAAAAAGGTGCTGGAGGGTCCAGAGAAGGGCAGCAAGGCTCATGAAAGGACTGGAGAACATCTCTTGTGAGGAATGGCTGAGGGATCTTGGTTTGTTTAGTCTGGAGAAGAGGAGGCTCAGGGGACACCTTGTCGCTGCTGCAGCTCCCTGAAAGGAGGGAGGACTGAGCTTGGGGCCACTCTCTTCTACCACGCCTGCAGGGAGAGGACCGGAGGAAATGGCCTTGGGCTGACACGGGGGAGATTCACATTCGATATCAGGAACCATTTCTTCTCTGTCAGGCACTGGAATAGGTTGCCCAGGGAGGTGGTGGAATCACCATCTCTGGAGGTGTTCAAGAGGAGTCTGGATCTGTTGGTAGATAATATGATTGAAGGGTTATAGTGGTAATTCTGGATGGCACAATTGGATGATCTTAAAGGTTTCTTCCAACTTTGACAATTCTATGATTCTTCTATGAAAAGCAGATTATTGTTTCCAGTCAAGGATTTCTTTTATTGATGATGATAATCACAGTCCAGGAATGAGGCAATGGTAACACTAACTGCAGAAGATGCAAGGCTGATCTCACTTTTAAAGTATTGACAAAATCACAACCTTCACAAAGCATACTTGTAAATTTAAAAAAAATTAAATGCTATGATAAAAATATGCATATGTTCAAAGAATCTGATGGAAATTTGTGAGTAGTGGTAGTTAAAAGGAAATGTTTTTCTCCATTAATAGCATTTAGGAAATAAATGTAATTGCAAGTTAAATATTTACAACTGAATATTTAACTTTCCTGCTCCTAAGATAATTTTGTTTTATTTTTTTCAATTACAGTAAAATCTTCATTTAACTAATGTATACTATATATAAAATTTGGGCAAATATTATTGTTAYTAAAAAATCTACCATTTATTGTAAAGAAAAACAGCAACCCTAATGCTGCTGGCTGTCTAAGCATGTGCTTAGGTAATTTACCCCTTTGTACCAGCTATTAGTTTAATTCCCTCACAGTTTCTCCAAACTAGAAAGTGCCACTAAATAGAAAATGTGAAGAGTATCTTAAAGCATTCAAATATCTTGTATCTTAAAGCATTCAAATAACCTTTCATTAGATACCTCTTCGTGAAAACACATCTCTTTTGTCTGAAACCTTTTATTTATAGAGGGGGGACTCTTGGTGAAAAATTCCTTTCCATGCCAAGAATTCTGCCAAGCATATGTGCAGTAAGTGTCTACATAAGTATTGTGTTACTTTAAAATAAATGTTAGTGTACAGAAGAGCACTGGAATAGGCCTTACTTTGTTTTACAGGTGGTGAAATGCAAAGGCAAGCATACCCATATTTTGTGAAGTGCTATGGGATCACATTGGATAGTGCAGGCAAGGACAAAATGGGAGAAAAGAAGGTGTCTTTTTTACGGGATCTGTTCCTATTCAAGAAAGTACATGAGGCTGGTGCTCAAGGAATTTTTAAAATCAACATTCTCTTTAATCTATGAACTTTTTATTTTGTAATACCAGTGTTGTAAAATAGTTATAATATTTTAATGTAAAATAAGAGAGAGCCATGTGAAATAATCCTCTATCTCTGGCRAAGTACTTTGTCTCCTATCTAATATTGGTGATGGATCATGACTAATTGAGAGACCAAAAAGCCCTAAAAGTCTGGTTTTCTTCTGTCAGGTGATACCCATTAGGTGACTGTTGTTTTCCCAATTGCATGTAAGCCTCCTGATTCAGTGAACATTCTTCCATTTCTATTATTTGAAAAATAGAACTGGGAGTTAGTTTGGTCTAATGATATCTTCATAATGGTCTTTATAATAATCAGTAAATTAGGCCCTGGGTACATGGACAAAGAGGTAGAATAAATGTGAATACTGACAGCTAAGTMCTATTTCCCCATACATAAATATTGTTAATCCCTCTGCAAAGACAGAAACTAATATACAAAATGCATCATGTCCACGTATTTCTTTGTTTTCCGTATTTTTATTAGTAATTTATCCATGTGACACAGAATCTGTGATGCTTCAACTGTATGCCACGTATTGATAGAACTTTTAAAAAATCACTGTCTTGTAGATAGACATTAAATATTAAGGCCTCTGTTGCTGCTTCTTTGTAGAGGGAAACTTTCTTTATAGAAGTTAATTTTCATCTGAAGATACATGAAAACGTGTGCTAAGGAAAAGTATTAATATTTTTATAATCTAACAAACATTTAAATCCACAGTTAACATTATTTATGAAGACTCATTATTTAGTGAATAATATTGAATCTACAAGACCAATATTAAATCTTCAGTGTAATTTGTCCATTTACATCTTCCAAAGAAATACTTCCAKTACATCCATATTGTATTATACCAAGGATTTAAATGTTTAAGAAAAATGTTTACCGATGGAAGTAAGCAAACCAAATATTTATCACAACAGAAGCATATTCTAATATTGGGAAATTGTCTGTGTTTTTGACTTCATTTTGGGAGTGCAAGGGAGTTTCCTTAGAGATTAAGRTGTTTCCTTACTTGACTCAAGGGGGAAAGACTGAAAGCTTAAATAAAACAACTTTTAAAAAACCTCAAGCATCATTTACTAGTTTTAATTTATTTTAGTTTCTGTGGAAAAGACTATTTGAATAAACTAAGGTTGCTGTCCTAGGCAAGGAAGCAATGTGCTTTACACATATGATTTTGCTCCAGTGGTGTGTACACAGTAATCAGCAGCAAAATTTTTATTGGACCCTCTCATAGCAGAGCTCGTCTGCCAAGGCAAGCTGGCTGCTAGGCTGCTCTATTTTCTTTTTTTGGACCTTTCTGACCCGTTTGGGATGTTGAAGAAAGCAAACACTTGTAATTTAGTTCCACAAAAGAAGCCTGCAAACCTCTCAGATGCCTCAGGTAACCTCAGGCACAGGAAGTGAATTTGTTTGGTTTTTATGGAGAACAGGTTCAGTGCAACTAATTTGTGATACAATTGACACAGACTGACATTGTGATATGGTTRTAATTATGCTTAAGCATTTTGCAGAAATGTGTCATTTTGCAGAAAGCTGCATAGTAACCCTGATTAATAAAATAATGCCCGGGTTGCRCCTAAAGATTTAGGTAGAATTTGGCTGACTGAAAGACTATTAAGGACCTGTTAATTTCATATCTTAGTRCTGTGTTTGCTTTAGATCTCTGTGAACCATCCTGGCCACTAAAAGAAGATATTAAACCTTTCCTAGCCCTGTTTTCATGCTTGCATACCATCTTCCTTGGCTGAGTTACAAAGAATCAAAATCATCACCATTGGCTTTTGGGTTAAAAATTCTGCATAGCTGATGGGCTGAATTTTAGCTTGAATCAGTTTCCTGAGGTACAAAGGAGGAAATGCTGCAGGGGTGAAAAGACTCAGGGGGAGGGTGTTGGAGAACTGTATATTTTGATTTATTGTGTGTGCAGCCATAGCCACTGTTCTGCTGAAGGATAGCAACAGGCTTCCTCTGGAGTTGGGAGGAGGAAAATAGGATGAAAATATAGGAAAAGGCTAAGAACAGAAGGGAAGGAAGCTAAGAGGTTGAGCTCTGAGTATCAAAATGAGAARAAGCTTACTGTATTCTTTGTTCTCTTTTGTGAACCAAATAACCTTTATTAGGAGCAGTAAAGAAGAACAAAGGAGGATGGAAAAAGGGGAACTCAAAGCTTTCTGTGATGTTGAAAACTATAAGTGACTATAGAAAGCCCAATTCATCTGCAGAAGTGGGTAAAATTGAAAACTATACATAGTAATACTGATTAAAACTACCAGTGAGGATATACAAAATAATTGCAATAAATTGCGTACTTTGAGGGGCTTAGTATCTACATTATGTTTCTTGCTGAAATTTTCTTATCAAAAGAGAAAGGAAGGCACAGTGAGTCATTATTTTGCCGTAAGTATTCCACTGAACTCTAATTTCTYACATCTGGACGTGTTCAAGTATATATTGTACTTCTGTGAAAGTACAAAAATAATGTAAACAATAACAACAATAATATGCTTGTCTTTTTGAGGGGTGGTAATGGAGAATCGTAGAATTGTTTCAGTTGGAAAACATCTCTAAGATCATCAGTCCAACCATTAACATAATAAAACATTACATTTAATAAAGGTACCCACATCCCAATTCCTCTCAGCTGCATGAGTGAAGGACCAACTGGTTCTAATTGCAAGTCAGACAGCCATGCTGAATTTTGTAGCACTATTTATAGCYGTGAAGGGGAGCGTGGGTGAAATCTGAGAAAGGATTATCAAAGCTGAGATTTTCCCTGATGTTTTTCGAGCAATACATTTATCTGTTCTTTATTTCTCATAGTATCTTCTCCAGCTGTGCAGTTGTAATTCAGCAGTGTCATGTATTGTCACTTCTGCATTAGTAAATAGCTAGGACCTGCTGAGTAATTATGAATTAACTTCATAATGAAATGCAGGAAAGGGTTCTAATTAAATTTTAAAGTTACTGAACAACTATCCTACTTTAAATGAGAATTTTCAACCCATGTGTCCTAATGAGTTCTCAAAATACATTATTAAGGTATATAAATGACACGGTCAACATAAAATRTGATTTTCCACACTTCCAATGTGTAGAAAAACGTGTATACAAAATATACACAAGAATTCAAATACTAACTTATGTGGGGATAGTAGGGCAGCCACATGGAATTTCTAATACTTTCATAATATTTTATAATATTTTACTGATATGTAACCAACAATAAAGGAAGCCTGTAAAGGTTGATATCACACCCATGGAGTCCAGTATTTTGTCTCTGAAAATGTCTCARTACAAATTGTGGAGGGTAGCATGGCAAGGGTAAAGTGTTAACCCCCTGATTCT